TGGCTAGGAGGATTATATCTTTTGCACAGGAATCCATGGAACCAAAACTTAACAAAGTACCCTTCCCTGTCCTTCACAAATAGCCAGTCTACAAAACTATTAGGTACTAATCAAAAAATCACCAACCCTCAGTATTAAGTGTTAGGTGAAAGGAATTTATTCTGTACAACAGAAGCAATCAACACGTAGTCCAACATTCCAGAATTAAAAAAATAAGAACAAACAAAAAGTTAGACTAGGATATACATACATGGTCCTTCAGTTTAGCCTTCAGGTCGCTCAGGTGTGCTTCCCGTTTCTCAGTGTGTGTTTCCATCTTTTGTTCAAGAGCTTCTCGAGTTTGTAAGATGAATGTGTTTGCTTGTTCATCCTTCTTCTTTGATGCCTCCTCAATTTTTGACATCTTGGCAGCCAGAAGTGCCATTTTGTTTGCTTCTATGGACTGAAAGAGAGAACAAATGTCAGATGAACATTGTACAATACCATCGCAACCATATAACAAAAGCCTGCCACTGGACCCAACTGTACGCGTCAGAGTAATGCACTTCACATCTTCAAACTACTCCAGTTCTCAAAAAAAAACCATTCAGGTATTATACTCCAATGCACAAATTGGTCTCTGATGTGGTATCCCTTCAGGCTTTGGACTCCCCAATGCATGTGAAATCATGCTGTATTTATTCTTCGGCTTGTTATCTTCTTGAAAGCGACTTTTCTGGATCACTATTCGATTTGGATTTTCCGCACTTTACAGCTGACGATTAACCTTTTTTGACGTAAATACGTCTATACGGAAGGGTCATTCAGCAAAAAAGTGGAACGAAAAAGTGTAACAATGGTTACCTAGGAAACGTCATCTGTTTACTTAGCATTGTTGTTACCTAGGAAACGTTACCTTACCTTACATTACATTACATTCAGCTACCACAGACCCAACTTAAGCGTAACTAATTCAAGTTAAATAAGCAAAGTCTTGATCAAACTTTACTCAATTGTAAAGCATGTATGAAGGAAATATTTAGAATAAAGCCAATATATAAACTTCCTTTCCGTATAGACGTATTTACGTCAAATTCTCCGGAACCGTGGTTCCACTGTCAGTTCATTATCTAATACTTCTATTTTTTTATGTTTTCTGTACTGTCTCATATATTCTGCTTTATGGAGTCTTTTAGCATCAATGTCATCCATCTTGTATATAGTATGACGCAACAAACTAACGCAACAACAGAATACTTAATAATTCTTATATAAGATAAGTACTTGTGATATTCTAAAACGTTTTTACCAGCACAAAATTATCTACTCCACGACGCACTTCTTCTACAAGCAAATCACAGCTCAGCTCTTGCCGCAATAACGAAAGTAATGTAACAAAATGCCAAGTAATGTTTCCTAGGTAACACAACAATGCCAAGTAAACAGATGACATTTCTTAGGTAACAATAATGTTGAGTAAACAGATGACGTTTCGTAGGTAACAATAATGCCGAGTAAACAGACGACATTCCCTAGGTAACCATTGTTATCGGATCTTTTTTGTTACATTTTTTTGCCGAATAACCCTTCCTTTATAGGCGTATTTACGTCAAAAATTATCCATACTAGTACAAAGAGCAGGTTTTGAATAACTGATATTATAAAATAAAACAGAAATTCTCCATATATAGGACACACAAATAGGTTTCTGCATATCTCAGGATTATCCCTTATAAAATTGGAGATAAAACTGACTGAAGTAAACAGCAACATAAAAGAACATTTTATTTTATTCCCCCAGTTTTCTACAGGTATGGTTTAAATGTGGATTCTCTCATAGGACAACAATTAATAAAAATTTTTGATTTCAGAATATTAACAGAAAAAACGAAATATATAAGCAATCAGTACATCAACTACTAATGGGTTTTTAAAAACGAATAATGGTTCAGTTGGGGAAAAAGTACCATATAATTTTATTTACTTGGAATAAGATTGAGTGAAATGAGTATTCAGCAGATGTAAGTTCATATAAGTACATATGGTAGGTATGTAGTATCTGATGCTTTTCAGTTCACAATGGGCAAAACCAAGGGAATTCTTTATCCCAACTGAATTACATTTTAGAATACACTATCATTAAAGTTACGGAAAAGCTGGAAGTGAATGGTCTAAAGCAAGAATTTGTGCATGCTGATCACTTCTAAGGAGAGAATATATAATAAATATCACAAATAATAAAAACTTTCATAATAAAGTAACAGATTGTCAGTGGAACCACGGTTCCGGATAATTTGACGAAAATACGTCTATACGGAAAGGAAGTTTATATATTGGCTTTATTCTAAATATTTCCTTTATACCCGCTTTACAATTGAGTAAATTTTGATTAAGGCATTGCTTATTTAACTTGAATTAATAAGGCTTCAGATGGGTCTGTGGTAGATGAATGTAATGTAAGGTAATATAAGGTAAGGTAAGGTAATGTAAGGTAAGGTAATGTAATGTAAGGTAAGGTAAGGTAATGTAATGTAAGGTAATGTAAGGTAATGTAATGTAAGGTAAGGTAGGGTAATGTAATGTACTGTAAGGTAAAGGTAATGTAATGTAAGGTAATGTAAGGTAATGTAATGTAAGGTAAGGTAGGGTAATGTAATGTACTGTAAGGTAAGGTGACGTTTCCAAGGTAACATAACAATGAAGTTACACTTTTTCGTTTCCCTTTTTCGTAACGCTATTTCGTAACACTTTTTCGTTACATTTTTTGCCGAATGACACTGACCCTAAAATACAGACGTATTTACATCAAAAGTAAAGCTGTCCTACTATACGCCATGTAGGCGCTTGGGAGGAGAGGCGGTATAGCTCCTGCTCATTCTTGACCTCGGCACTAGAAGGAGGTGAGTGATCAGTATCACACCACAGATGTGCTTTACACCAGGGAACGGACCCCGGTACCCACTGGACAGGAGGCTGGGTGGGCCCCAGAACTGGTCTGGATACAGAGACTGAAGGAAAAATCCCCCCTCCCCCCATTGTGGATCGAACCTCGGTCATCCAGTCCATAGCCAGTCACTATACTGACTGAGCTACACTGGTTCTTAAAAACTCTCCTAGATATAAATAAATTTATAAGCATGGCATAAAACCAAATCAGCAATGAAATCAAACAAACATAAATATGTGAACATGACATAAAACTAAAATCAGCAACAAAGTTATAACATGCAATAAATTGTCTGAGAATGATTTAAAAATTAAGAATCTGGGAACACCACCAACAAACAGAAACATAATGCACAATAAGAAAGAAGAAAATATTCAGATGCCTTTTTATTCAGTTCCAAAACAGTCCAAGAATATATATGGACCTAAGACAAAGTTGGCTTTTTAGATTATCACATACAGAAAAATGCTGTGATTTATAAAATACACAGTAATATTAGAAAAATAGGTGGCATAGAAGCTGGGCATGTGGCTCGGGTGAAGGAGACAAGGAATGCATACAGAATTTTTGTGGTAAAATGGGCTGAGAAGTGAATGATTGGAAGACATATGAGGAGATGAGAGGATAACATTAAGATGGGCCTTAGATAATATGCAAAGATAGTAAACACATAAAACTAGATCAGGATCATATACAATGGTGAGCTTAGGTATTAGCAGTGTTAAACTTAGGTTTCTTACCACAGCATTAGTTAACCTGAATTAGTACATTTGAAACTCACCAAGGGATCTTAAGTCATGTCATGCATTCGTTCTTAATGAATACAATTAATCAGTTTGCCTATGCCTTCAACAAGTTTAACGCTGGGTAAACTTACCAATCTCCTCTCCTCAGCTGCTTTAAGTTTTTCGTCAATGTTCTCTACTGAAACCTTGCTGCTGGGTGAGATGGGTCGTTTGGGAGGGGTCACAGCTACAGGCTCGGCCAAGATCACCTCGTATGCAAGACCGCCCTTTGATTTCTCTTGGCACCTAATTTCAGTAGCTGCAAAACATAGTTCAAACCTCTTATACCTATCTCCATACTCCACAAGCCACAACCACAGAAGACAAACATCCAACTTTCAATCCAAAGAACAGCAATAATATCAACTAATTATGAAAAACAATGACAAACATGAACTTAACAAGTTTACTTTTATCAGCACTTGTTTCCTAGAATGTTACCAGAAATTATACTGAGCTATATATAACTGTTGACTCCTATGTCAAGTTCAATTTTGAAAATGAACGTCTACAAACTGCTATGTATATAATAAAATAACTTACAAAATCTATTAATGGAAAGCCATGATTATAGCTGACACAATGGCACTATTGTATATTTCCACAGAAAATTATTAAAAAGCAAAAGATGTTCTAGGTGTTAAGGCAGATGCCTCTTATTGTACGGCTTGGGTATAAACCAATCAGAATAACACTATGCAACATAGTGTGGCATGTTGTATGCTTCTCAGCTGATTTCGCGTCCGGTCACACGGTATACAGTTTGGGCCAGACTCACAATGACAACATTGTAAAACATGAAAACTCAGAAGTGCACATGAGACAACCATCTCATATCACTGTCAAGCTGCAAGTGAATGCCAAGTTAGAAAAAAACATTATAGAAAAATTTAAATGTAAAATGTTAACTGAAAGAGCAACATTTGCTTCATAATTATTACGCACTATGGTGACATGCTGTAACCTCAAATATAAAGTGAGGATATCAGTTACCTATAATACACAATCAACTCCGCCTCTAGGGAGTACTTTCATACTTCCTAGTGCTGGTCTGGAGCCCCGATAAAGGAAGAGGGTGAGTGGCTGGTAATATAGTCTTGTGGGATGCACTGATATCGAGTAGGTGTGACCAATAAAACACAAGAAATGCTTCAGATGGTTGACCATCTACCAGTAATACCAGCGAAACCAACCCGATAGGGATGGGTGAGTGTGAACACCCAGCGCCTTAAAACTGAGACACCTTGGCCAAAGTATGGTAACCCTAAAAGAAGAGTCCCTGGTCCTTCGGGTCGGGGGTTGGGCGTGGGGTTAAAAACCCCACCCCGTAAAACCAATTTGTTTTGAAACCTAAGGGGAGGCCATGGCCCGAAGCACCATAGATGATGATGATGATTATACAGTCAATAACCACACAAGTTTAATTCAAACCTTTGAACTTTCAATTCATAACCTAATTCTGCACAACCAGCATTCAAAGCTCCTTCAATAAATATGAATTACATTCATGAATATATAAAGAGCAGATTAAACTCCAGAACGCTTGTTCCCAATCAGCTGCCTTCCAGTCTCCTGTCTAAAACCAAAGATTAAAACAAACAAAACTATTTTACCTGTTATTATGTATGGGTGTAAAACTTGGTCGCATTCCAAGGAAAGAACACATACCCAAGAGGAAATAACAGGATGATGGTGAAAATTCCATAATGAAGAGTTGAATGGATTTTAAAGAGATGAATGTGATAATGTGTATTTGATACAAAAGGGTCACGACAGGGTACAATGATGGATGCTAGTGAACACAACAATGAACTTTCATATACTGAGAATACTATCAACTTTTAACGAGGGACTGCATAGAATCAGTTATCTTGTAATTATCAAAACATTATTTCAAATTCAATGCAAACAAAAAGTCATGAATGCAGTTTTCTGATTAATGCTGAAAACTGTAAGAAACTATTTTAGGAATCATCTGCAATTAATACAAAAGAAAAACGGGCCAAACAGAGAAGAACGCTGAATGGGTAACTGAAGATGTAAATGACATTAATAAACCGATATATACAGCCTATATAAATGAGGACATCATCTTATTTGTGTAGGATTTGAGGTTTTCACAGTAGTGAGTCTGAGGATTGCTGTCTTCTGGGTTATTGCGCTGTGTAGTCTGGTAGATTTCCACCAACGATTCATCGCCCTGATGACGGTGGCGGTATGACCTCTGGAATGTTGGTGGAAATCTACCAGACTACACAGCGCAATAACCCAGAAGACAGCAGTCTTCAGACTTATTTGTAGTTTATTTAACAACACATTCAGCAGCTCAGATTACACAGTGTCAAATGATAGGATCATTTAATGGATAATTTATGGCAAAGGATTACAAGGAAGCTGCAGCAACTTATTTCCAGTATTACCCCGGAATTTGTCTGGAAATGAGAAAAAAACACATAATCCTGAATTAGGATAGCCGATCTCCGGGACAACACTCGAACCCTGGACCTCACAAATATGAAGGAGGAATGCAAACTCGGCTGGGACATTATGCGCAAAAAGGTGCCGCAGCAAGAAAGGCTTGTCGGTGCAAAAAAAGGTAGACAATGGCCAAGGCACAGGGTAAGAGGCCGTGGATCCCAGAATTCCCAGCTGCCCTGATGAGTCACATGGGGTAGAGATGCATATGGTTGTGAAGCGATGCGGGTTGCAGACGCGCCAGGGGCGTGGTATCGATCTCTGGGGCGGCGTCGCTTCGTCTGTGCTAGACGATACGTCACATTCGGCGCCCTAACTTGAGGCGACACGACGCCCCGTCTCACTTTCAATGAACTTCGGCAGGCGACACATTGACGTCTTTGTCTCTACAAACCGCCTTCCAACGCAGACTCAGAAATTCGAAACCACAAAGCGAATAAAGCAACAACACTGCATCAATTTCTGAAAACTGAAATTGAATGGAAGAAGGAAATGAAGACCAACGGCAGAAAATAGTAAAACTTCCGAGCATGTGTAAGATTTGAGGTTTTCACAGCGGTGAGTATGAAGATTTCTGTCTTCTGGGTTGTTGCGCTGTGTAGTCTGGTCGATATTAACCAACGTTTCAGAAGTCATACTACCTCCGTCATCAGGGCAGAAATCTTCATTTCCGAGCATGTCTTCCCAATAAATTTCACACAGGATATTAAAACGAGTTTGTAGCTTCGCATCGTCTTATTCTCTGCAAAATAAGCGGCTCTCGCAACTAAACAAATCAGAGGAAAATTATAGGATCTATGTCTCTGCTTTTCAGGAATACGGTTTTAATCCAACAGATCAAAATATTACGAGACTTGAAAGTCATCTCCCTCCAACAGAGGATCTACGTGGTCAGGAGACAAGGACAACAAATGTAATTAACTAAATTTTAGTTCAACTGCTGCAATTAAGTAAAAACTGCCTAATTCAAGTCTCTATATGGCACCTTTTCAAATAATTGTTCCCCTCCACAACTCTACGAATCTAGCAGAAAGATCATTAATAAGATGGCTATCTTCTGAGTTGTTACGCAGTCTGGTAGAAGTTTACCGACGTTTCAGAGGAATCAAGAACCTCGTGAGATGTCGGTTTACTTCTACCAGAAAACACGGCGCAACAACCCAGAAGACAGCCATCTTCAGACTCACCTCAAATCATACACAGAAAGATCACTGGTTTACCCCTCGAGGAATTATCAAAAACCAATACATATTGAAAACGCTGTATTTTTACCCTATTTAAAGTTATCACTACGAACCTAATACCCATCCAGAATGTACTAACCATATACGGGTACTAAGAAAATCCGGTGGTCGTAAAACCAGCACAGACAAATTCCAATCAGGTTACGTAATAATTGATGTACCGGGGCTACTGCAACTATTAAAACGGAGCTTCACAAAACGTTTCGTCGAAAGTAATTGGGTTGATGAAACAGGTGGGCACGTGACACACGGGAGATGAGAAATGCAAAATTTTAGTTGGTAAAAATAATGTGACAAACTGGCTGACGTAGGCACAGATAGGAGGATAATTTTCTTCAATAAACTTAAAGACACAGAATATCAGCATGTAGGCTGGTTTCATCTGACTCAAATTCAAAACGTCTCGATTACGAAGCAATTATTAACACCGCGGCGTTGCATTATATTCACCAAGACTACATTTGGGCAATAAAGCTTAGCATTTACTTTACTCCATACGATTCACCACTCCAGGTTTCATCTTTTCAGTCAAGGACATAAATATTTTGTATTTTCATTTCATCGTCCATTTTCTCTCGGAAATCTTCCAGGGGCAAGACCAAATTTATAGACTACATAATTAAAGAGAATCCTACACAAGTGTCAAAATATTTTGAGATTATATGAATTAATTTCCCTTTTTGCCACTGATGACCTCTTGAGGTCAAAACGCGTTTGGCACTAGTGTCATTTATAGTGTAAACAGTTTGTATGCTTATTTTTATATTCTAATGTAAGAATGCAGAAACAAATATAGAACAGAATTACAAACCTGCAAATCGCAAAATAATGCTAACCACGGCTGGCATCAGGAACAGAAACGCACATATTCGTAGATTACAGCAATACATCTACCAACATCACTTTAGTATTTCAGCTTTCAAACATTTGATGAAGAAAACGTACAAGTTAAACAAAACTGATTTTTTAAATTCCGTGACTAAATTTTTTTAGGCCTACGCACATTCAGTGTTGTCCAATTTCGAAAATAAAAAAATGTACACAAAATAACAAGTAACATGAAAATCCGTTAACACGTTGTATCTACGTTATATCCTAGATTCCTGTTTTTCCCTGCACGTCATACTTCACACTGTTCACTTGAACAACATGTTTCGAGCCAATGTGTCCATCGTCAGGTCAAATTCTCTGCTTCTAAGTCAATGTACTAAGGATGTCCTCCCCAGTGCCCAGAAATGACAAGACTACATATTAAAACGTTCATAATTCAGTTATTCGGGAAAAGTTAAAATGTGAAAACTATTATTAAAAATGGTTTTGAATTGTTCTATCACAGCCTGGTGAGTCCCGGTGTTTTTCCTCTGTAAACTGTAATAAACCGCCAAGTATCTTCTTCATCACCAAAGTGACGAGACGCACTGCTACAAAATCAAGGTTGTCACCTAAATGCTTAGAGGGCGTCAATATCGGGTGAAAGCACTGGCTGTATACATGCATACCGTTGCTACAACAGAAATCTCCCTGCCGCCCCCTGTGAAGAATATCAGAATACTCACAGGCGAACATTCGCATTTACAGCGCGTCCGAAAAAATCAAGTCTGCACGCAATGCGAAGAACCATTTGACAGATTTCAACGAAATTATCAACAGTCTAATGCAAACATGAGCTGTATGGCAAATTTATTTTTGGTTCAGAGTGGTCAATCAAAACCCCTGATCTACACGAGATAACAAGATGTTTTTGTACGTTAAATTTTAGACAAACAAATCGGAAACAGGATATTTTGTGACATGTACAAAACCGGTGTGACTTACTTTTAAACAGTTTCGTAAAATATGAGGATAAGAAAAGCCAATGGCCGCTAATAGCACGCATAAATCCTTCTGCCACTATGCTTATCGATAAGACAAGTTCATTTCAACACACAATGCATCCGAATGATTTTAACTTTGTTCTACAACAAACCCGGGCGCCAGAAAAGTGACAAGTTCTTTTCAACCAAATTGTTTCTATTTGTCACTGGTTACTAGGGTGACAAGCTGCGTTAGACCACACACACACATACTTACTGATGAATTTCACTTTCTTCGGTTGCTTCGACCGGGACTTGGTCTTCGCCTTCTTGATAGGCGCAGCTCGACGAGCTAAAAACGACCCCCCCAAAAAAACCATTAGAAACGACCAACACCCTATATCACCTCCTACCCTCATTCAAACACTAATCGCTATTCTTTAAACCCCACCCTAAAAAGAATCAACCCAAGAAAGAGACTGTACACGCGACATTAAATGTAATTTTGTTGGAAAAGACTACGTTAATTTAATCTGCAAGGAATTAAAAAACTTCAAAACCAAAATTAATGTAAGATTTAACAATTAAGACACTGTACTAAAACCAATCATCTGGTGCCACATTCCCGCACGTCTCCCCCCGGCGACCCTTACCAGCAGGAGGGAGCGGTGCGCGACAAGTGTGACAGAAACACTGGAGCACAGAATCCTTGACGAGATTTATCAGCATAATGCCGGCGAATGTATTCAACAATCCCGAACCTCTGACCCGCTCACTACGAACCCCAGTCACAATATGACGTCTACCAAAGTCGTCGGAGCCAGGACCAGCAGGCGTCGCGGAGTTCTCCAACGCCCTCCCCCTCCAACAATCGATACGCTCAATAAAGGGAAGCACGGACGCCATCTTGAGTACGAATGTCTCGGACTGCGTTCAGTACGGTTCAAGTACTTTTCCAATTTTCTAGTCATCCTCACCTGTCATGTTCTCTCCTTTTATTGGTAAAACTTCGAGCATCTCCCTGCATAACTTCATATTTAATGGTGGCCGACAAGCGCTACTTGTACAATCTAAAACGATTTACATCACCCTTTAACGAGATACGGAGTAGCGTTAATTAACCACACACAGCAAAGAGATGAATGAATATGGTCATTAACAGATCAAATCACACAGTAGAGCCCCGCCCCAAATTCCACGTTGCGTCAATCTCTTCTAACAGCATCACTCTATTTGGCTGCACGCGACAGAGACAAGCGACCGAGGGAGGCGACAGAGACGGGAGACGGACACATCGCAGCTTGTCGCCACACACTTTTGAGGTGACGACCGAGACATGCGGCAAAGTGTTTGTTTTCTTTGTTTTGTTGAGACATACGTGCACATATTCTGTGAAAAATGAGTACAAAAATGCTTCTAAAAAGGTTACTCGAAGAAGATGATGTGTTGCTGTGTTATTTGTTGCGAAAGAAACAAAGAAAACCTATGAGTTCAATATTCAAAACCAGACGCGAAGAAGGATCTTTCTGTCGGTGGTCAGTGATCGGTTTACAGCTACTAATTCTACCAATTGCTCATCTTGGTCACCAGTAAATTTAATTTCTGCAATTATTTTACTCAACAACACACGTGCTGCCTGAGC